AAGTTTGTGGCATTGACAGACAATATTTTCAATTCGTCCCTTAGTTGGTAAAAACATACCAAGAAAAAAATAAATAAATAAAGTGATGCACGATGAAAAGAAAAAAGTACATCAGAGGGTTTAAAACAGAAATGTGAAAGCTTGTATTTTTGTAAAAGCAATAACATTAATTATTCAGTTTAAAAAGTTTATTTTATCTGTGCTATTGTTTAAATAGTCATTTTGTAGTGAGATTATGTTTTTATTAGGATGAACCTCTGGTTATGCATTATTGATATAATTCTTGTGAGTGGAGTTTACTCCATGTAAACAGATTCTATGAAAAGGTTAGTAATTGAATCTATTACACTCATGCTAAGTTACTGTATAGTTTCAAACTAGTTATATATTTTCTGTATACTTGCCCCACAGGCTTCCATTATAAGCGCAATGGCTATTGTACATGCATTTTCCTGTTTTTACAAACTGGTTGAAAATATCTAGTGCAAATCGACAAGATTTGTATCAACAGCTTCCTGGAATTTTTCTTTAAGAGGATAAAAACACTCCAATTGTATAAACCTTTAAAGGGATAGTTCACCCAAAATGAAAATTCTGTCAGTAATTACTCACCCTCATGTCGTTTCAAACCCGTAAGACCTCCGTTCATCTTCGGAACACAAATTAAGATATTTTTGATGGAATCTGAGAGCTGTCTGACCCTCCCATAGACAGCAATGCAACTGAAATGTTCCCAAGTCCAGAGACGTAGCAAGGAGATTGGTAAAATAATCCATGTGACATCAGGGGTTCAACCGTAATTTTACGAAGCTACGAGAATACTTTTTGTGCACAAAAGAAAAAAAAAACGACTTTATTCAACAATTCGTCTCCTCCTCATCACCCTGTAGCGCCTTTTTGGAGAATATCAGCTGGACGTAAACAGCGTATGCTATTCTGTGTCAGCTGCTTCACGCCGGATTTGTTTCCTACGTTGTTGTGATTTGATGTTTTAAAATAATCACATGGATTATTTTACCAATCTCCTTGCTACGTTTCTGGACTTGGGAACATTTCAGTTGCATTGCTGTCTATGGGAGGGTCAGACAGCTCTCAGATTCCATCAAAAATATCTTAATTTGTGTTCCGAAGATGAACGATGGTCTTACGGGTTTGAAACGACATGAGGGTGAGTAATTAATGACAGAATTTTCATTTTTGGGTGAACTAACCCTTTAAGAAAACTCCCTCAGAGTCAGCACCCTTCCTGTCTGGTCAATACAGCAGCTACTGCTCCATTATGCTTATGTGATGGGACCCGCAGAGACCAGCAGCATGGAACAAAATCCAGAAATAAACCACCAAAGTAAAAAGACCAGCTCATCATCTCATAACTTGGAGACCCAGTTAGTGTAAGGGAAAGCTAAAACAGGTTTCTAGGCTAGAAACACCATCGGCCGCACAGTTTGGCGTGACTTTTAATCAGGGTGTGAATATGACTGGCTAAAGCGTTGAATAAAAGGTGAAATTCATTCAAAATTAATAAAAAAAATTGAGAATATTAATTTACATGTTCATGAAATTATGGCTATGCACAGAACTCGAAGGGAAAAATTCATCAGGGATGAGTGTAGGATGATGATGCATCAATCAATATATTATTAATATCAAATTTAAAATATTAACTCAAATACAAAAATTAAATAAAATCCCAGTCAACGAGATGCATCTGAATTGTATCTGACATTTTATGTATACACTATGAATTATATATTTTATATACATTTTTAATTCAAGAGATGATATTATAGCCAACAGGTTATGATGAATAATGGAGATGCTTGAAATATATCTAATTCACAGAATTATTAAATAATTCTGAGGGGGGTTTCTTAAAGCTATCTTTAACTTTTAAAATTAAAATCAGCAAGAACCAGCCTGCAAGATGGGGAATGGTGTTGTATGATTTGCGTATTGCTACTTTATTTGCATAAATCCTTGAGTGAATCAGTTGCTAAATTAGTTGCTATACCAATAAACAACGCCATCAGTGGCCGCAAATCATTATTACTGAATTCATCCCTGTTCAGTAGTCTGCAATTTCTCAACATCCATCCTAAATCACAACGGACGCTTTACTCTATTCCCCATGTGAACTGGGGATTAACCGCTGATTCCAATCAAACTGCACCTAATTGTGCACAACTGAATTGATTCTCACATCCCATTTTATCCTGCAAGGAAATCTTCATTGCATCCTGTGCACGCTAGTCTTTCCCTCATCTGCGAAACACTCAAAAAGCCCTCCTCATTAGCCCAACAACAGCAAGCACAGCTCCATAATTCATTTTAATCCAGCATCGCAGCAGTGCTTGTCAGACTGTGAATATGTAAGCCGGCCCGCAGCCTGCCGCAATTCTTCCAAAACAAAGAGATTTGATTCCATGTTTGAGGGTCTCTGTAGCTCTGTGAGCCTTATGGTGATGGCTCAGAGTGTTATTGATGTTCTTCTAGTGTTAGAAAGGACAGGTAATAAAATAAAGAAATGAGCTCTGCCCAAAGCCAGAGCAAACACCACCATCACACAGCTGATGCAACAGAGAGAGAGAGAGAGGAGGTGGCTGCAGGCTGAGATACGGCTCAGATATATGAAGCTCCTGTCATGAGTGTGATGTCAGAGTAAACTGGTCTTATCGCAGTCTGAATATGTGTTGTGAATGTGTCACGGGATGATTTAATGAGCTTAAACATGTTTCATCTGTTCGGTTTACAGGGTTCAAACATGTTTGAAATCTGAAATTTCCACATGCTAGAGGGTTGGATGTGCTTTCTCCAAGAGTAGATTTTGCCTGTTTAAATGTCAAGGCACTTGCCACTTTAAATGCTGATTATTTTAAGTGATCTGTTTACATGCAGCTTCCTATGAATGAATCAACGTGGGTGAGGCTGGTGTCATTTTTGATGTGAATGATGACGCCTGAGCTATATATATATATATATACAGAGCTGGGTAGATTACTTACAAATTGCTATCCGTTACTGATTCCAAATTTCATGACAAAAATTGTAGTAAGTAACATAATCCATTACATTACACATTTTAGGTAATATAATGAGGACTTCCCAGCCCCCTCTATTACTCCAGGCATAGGATGACAAAGGGAAGTCCACAGGTCACATGACAAGGGAGGGAAGTCAAACTCTGGCTCACTTCCTGTTGACATTGCTTTGTATGTGGCAGGTTTATGAAATGGCTCATTTGATGCTGTGGAAAAGTGTTACTGTGTTTATGTAATAAACTGGATAAAAAAATAAAAAATAAATAAATAAATATATATATATATATATATATATATATACAGAGCTGGGTAGATTACTTACAAATTGTAATCCGTTACTGATTCCAAATTACAGATTACATTGTAGTTAGTAATGTAATCCATTGGGTAATATAATGAGGCTACTTTTTGATTACTTTTAGATTACTTTTGACCAAACTCATTTATCACATTGTTTTAAATAGGATACTCTTGTACCATATCGATATAAAAATGCAAAGAAAAAGAAAATATATTTCATCTGTTGTTACCGATAACATGAAGTGCATTCAACATTACATTATCAAGGTTTGTAAAGGAACTGCACGGGATTTGTGAGTTTAAATTGTGCATTATAATGTGTTTGAAAGACAAAAGCCTTGCAAAGACAGTAATACATGATTAAATAACTCTCTGAGTGATCATTCAAATAAAAAAATTCCTTGTTTATCAGTAATTGATGTAATGTTGAAATACTAAGAAAAACGTTTTAAAAGTGAAATATTTTTTGTAAATCCAGGGTCTCTCAGTAATTTTAGCCACCCAGCTAGTGACTGGTCTTTGTGTGAATGTCCACAAAACTGAAAGACTTTCTGAATATATATATAAGTGGTAGGCAATTTCATAAAGGGTCACTTAAAAGATGAAAAAGAATAATTAGGGAGAATCAATAAATTATGAGTAATTTATTGCTATTGAATGAATAATATGTAATCATGTAATCAATAAAAAAGTAACTGTAGTCTGATTCTGAGTATTCTAAAATGTTATTTTAATCTAATTACAAGTACTTCATTACTTGATTACGTAATCCAGATTACATGTCACTATATTTACTATAATTTGGTTTAATAAATCCCTGCATTTCTGCCACAATCCAGTTTAAGCAGTTGCTTTATGTGCTGAAACACTGTCATGCTGTGATTAACTCATTTTTTATTCTTTTCAGTTTTTATTTTACGCTTTCTATGTAATGTGAATTAGGCTCAATAAAGGTTGCACCTCAACACTATTAGCCTGCCATAATTAATGTTGCATTATTATTGCCCATGGAAAGCAAGCCAATTTAATTTCAAAGAGATGTTTCTATGCATTTGCCATTGATAATGATAGCATTTCTCAAATGACAGATAATGTTATAATCGAGCATATATAAAGGCGCAGGAGAGAAATCTTATAACAACTAATCAAAGTATGCATGAGCAGGCCATAAGCAGTCTGAGTATAAATGCACTTTTAAATGACCCTAAATGATCCACATGAGCACAAACAAAACAGGGGCATTCGTTTTTGAGTGTGTTCATGATTTACTGCATTTTCACTGGCTCTAATCTGAATGTGTTCCTTCAGCTGAATGACGTTTATTTGATATCTTTATGCGAGTAAATGGACTGTATGGATATTATCTGGCGGAGTGCAGTTGAAGAGGGCTTTGTGCTCTCAGTGCAGTCAATTCTGAATCTCGCAACTCGTGTAGCATTTTGACGTTGAGCTACAAACTGATCTGGGCATTTCTGACCGGAATCTATAGAGAAACTTCTCTGTGGGCTTTTGAAAATCAGCACAACAGAACCTAGAAACAGTGACTGAGGACAGAAGACTATTATAACCTCTCTTGAAAAGAATTTAAAAGCGCCATTGAATTTGCAGTTTGGAGTAATCACATTAACATTAGCATCTCTAATTACCCGCAAATGTACTCACGTGTGTTGATCTTTTGCAGAGAGATGTGCTTCTCTAGCTGTCTGCGCAGTTTGACTTCTGCTCCGTACTTTCCGGTGGTGCCATTATCAGCCAAAATGAAGTGGGAGTGTAGGCTGTTGAGTACCGTTAGCTTACTAAGAGGGTTAGACATCGTCTGGTACGGCCGGACCACCTGCAATACACACCGAATAAAAGTAAAAAAGATGCTGTTCAGGGATGTTCAGGACAAGAAAAATGAAACAAAAATGAAAGTGACGTGCTACAAAAAGCGCCCACATGCACAAGGAGCATTCAGTAATCATAGATCACTAGTAACAAAAAAAGCATTATTTTGTATTTAAAATGCAGATAAATAAATAAAAGCACTGAAACTCTACAAGTTTGTTATGTTCTTCTCCAGCATGATTTGAGAATGACCCAGAGAATGTCTTATAGTATCAGATCGTCTGTACAAAGAGTCATGTGCTCAGTGCCACACATTTACTTATTTGATCAGTGACCTAGAAATAGAAATGCCACAACATTGTCTTTAAAACATTCACCAGACCAGACCAGACTAGAGAGGGGTGGGGGGTGAGTGGGGTCTCGGAAGCGAGAGAGACAGAACCAAAATCTTGTATGAACGAGGGGGGATAGAAATCAGTGGTTATAAATAAAGAATGATTCTATCTCTGTGTCTCAGTTGTGCACCAGTCCCCAGTGACACACAGACAAGCTGAGGTGAAACTGAGTAGATGTATGTAGTGGCTAACATATAAATTATTTATAGATTTCTACATGACACAGAATTCATGCAGAGACAACATGAAAATCATTCCATTGTGATCTGGAGATTCACTCTTGTAAATAAGGAATTCAATTAATATATAAATTTTAATATATCATTATTGAACGAAAGCACATTTTGTGAAATATGCCCTGACTTGAGCCAAACAAGGTCTTATTGGTCATTTAGAAAAACAAACTATACTAAAAGAGCTCTAGCTATTAAAATAGCAACAGTCAAGTCACTTACATCTTTGCCCACCAGGTCTTCCTGGTTCTCCACAATCCCCCAGGGGGCAATACCGATAGTACAGATCTTCCCTCTCGATTTGGAAGCGTGGTCTTTTAGAGCATCACCAACATGCCTTATGACTCCTGGGGTGGCAGAAGGGAAGAGATAACAGATTCTCAGTGTGAGAGATACAGTTTCACACAATGCATCAAGGACATTGAGATAGCACACAGTTACACTTGATCTTCTCTAGAAGTTTAGATAGCATCAGCCTTCACTAGCTTTGCTCAACATCTTAATACGAGCAATTTAATTAGAATCTTAATTAAACTGAAAAATACATGAATACACACCAGTATTAACTCCTCCAGTGAAGATCCAGGCCCCAGTGGTCATGGCCGCCTTGATGAGACCCTTGCCGAAGACTTGCTTGAGTTTGGGCTGCAGCTCGAAGTTCTGAAGTCCTCCATGAACAGAGATGAGCAGTTTGGGAAGCTCCAGTTGCCACTCCTTTGTCATCAGATGCAGCAGTAAGTCTGGCTTAGTGTCGTAAGACACTCGTACATACTGACAAAACATAAAAACAAAATGATCTTGAGACATTCTTTAAGAGTACACATCTAAGATGTTGCAATACCATTCAGTAGTTTGGAGTTTAAAAGAAGTCTTTTACGCTTAACAAGGCTGCAATTATTTCATCAAAAATACAGTGACAGTAATATTATTACAATTTAAAACATGTTTCTTATTTTAATATATTGTAAAATGTCATTTATTCCTGTGATGGTAAAGCTGAATTTTCTGCTGCAGCAGCCATTACTCCAGTTTTCAGTGTCAAATGATCGTTCAGAAATTATTTAATATGCTGATTTGTTGCTCAAGAAACATTTCTTATTATTATCATTGTGGAAAGAAACCATGATTTTATTTTCAGGATTCAAGCTGTACTTGCAAATAACACAGCCAGCAAGACTGAACTGTCATTTATGAATGTGATTAAGGTCAACATGAAATCAAAACTTACTTGGTGTTTTTGAGATCAAAGCACAGATTTTTTTTCTTTGGAACAGGCTTTGGAATCAATCAAAATAAAGTCAGACTTGCTCTTCCTTTTAAACCACTGATGTCACTTGTGTAATGTTAAATAACAGCCAAATGTCTGGTATGCAATGTCCACTTATTATTATCCAATAAATTCCCAATTAATAAAATCAGTTCCCACCCTACGTTTTGTCTTACTGAACATCCTCTAAAATATCGTACATCACTTTATGGCAGTAAAATGGATAATATTTCAAAGCTTGCATGATCTACAGACATTAATAAATGCCTCACACAAGGAATTTAATTCTAAAAGGTTCATGGATATTTGATCAGAGTTCAAATATTGTAATATTTTTATAGAGTTATCATCAGAATCAAATGGTTGTTAATAAGAGATTGAATAGCTGTACCATTGCTTTGTTGGAGTGTCCACCTCCCTGGAACTCAATGGTTCCAAAGGCGTCAGTGGGACTGAGCTGGGTGTGCTTGCTGATGGACCACTTCTCTGACAAGCTGTCATTCTTTGGCACCCGCTCTGACTTCTCATTCTGATTGGATGAGATGCTGGGGGGCAGGCCAATATGTTGACCAATTAGACGGCCACAACAGCACCTGTGACAGAAGACACAACCATTGTGAAATTAAGTGAATGCCCCTTAAATTAGAAGTCAAAGCTGTCAGCAAGTGATCTACACTCTTAAAAATAAAGGTTCTTTATTGGCATCAATGGTTCCTCAAAGAACCGTTACCATCCATGGAACCTTTTCATTCCACAAAAGGTTCTTTATAGTGGAATGTTATAGTTAAAATGTTCTTCACACTACGAAAAAATGGTTCTTTTAAGAACTGTTCACTGAAAGGTTCTTTGGGGAACCAAAACTGGTTCTTCTATGGCATCGCTGTGAAAACCCCCTTTTGGAACCTTTATTTTTAAGAGTGTAAAATAGACATTATTTGAGGATTTCAAAAGTATTCGAGAGGCTTTGAGATTTACATTTCAGTGCCAGATTAATTAAAGTAAACTAACAAATTCTTCACATCTTAAAAATGGTATGTAAAAGAAGCAAGATATCATTTATCATCAAGTGTTCATTTCGTCACTCAGTGAGACTATCTTTAGATTCTCTAACAGCTTCAAACAAGGCCACACTAATGTAGAATAATTTCTCTTTCATTAATAGTACAAACACATTTAGTTACATCTAAATATGGTTTAAATGTGTGTGATTAAAATGCATATTTTGCAAAGACTACAGCAGTAGTGGTGCTACTCACCTATGGGGGTCTTTGGTGCTTACAATAATGTGCACACATTCTCTCTTGCTGAAAGCTCTTTCTATCCATGATTTCTGTGCCTGGGGAGAAACACAATAGGTGTAAGTTGCAGAAATCACTAGAGGTAGAAATGTCAGCTTCATGCATCCACTTAAGAGACCAGTAAATCCCAAACTAACAATAACCAAAGTACACATTTGACCAGTCTTTTTTTTTTTTTTTTACACATTGCAGCACCAGGCATTTAGTTACATCTAAATATGGTTTAAATGTGTGTGATTAAAATGCATATTTTGCAAAGACTACAGCAGTAGTGGTGCTACTCACCTATGGGGGTCTTTGGTGCTTACAATAATGTGCACACATTCTCTCTTGCTGAAAGCTCTTTCTATCCATGATTTCTGTGCCTGGGGAGAAACACAATAGGTGTAAGTTGCAGAAATCACTAGAGGTAGAAATGTCAGCTTCATGCATCCACTTAAGAGACCAGTAAAGCCCAAACTAACAATAACCAAAGTACACATTTGACCAGTCTTTTTTTTTTTTTTTTACACATTGCAGCACCAGGAAGTAGTGCTTTGTCATACTTTAGTCCTGTATTAATAGAATTACCTATTCACCAATTGTTGTTCAATCAGAGCTTTATGAACTGGTCCCTTGGTTTATGTTTTACTTTTTAAATATTTTAAATAAATTATCATTATTATGTATTATTGGCAACTTATTTTTTAGTCACTGATATTATTCTTTTATTTTTCTATTCTTGTCAGTGCTTTTGTAATGTGCATTGATGCTTTAGCAATACTTTGAGAAACATGCCAATAAGGACTTTTTTTTAACTTTTCACTCTTTTATTCAGGGGAATTACAGGTCCAGCATTTACCAAATGAACACACTGTCTGTTAGCTTGCTTTAATTCAACACAACAGCAGCACCATCTGTGAACGCACCTCAAAAACAGCGAGTGGTTACATAGGCACTTACCCCACAACCAGACTTCCTACAGTACACCATTACTCTTATAAAAAGCTAGCGTGAGGGAGAGAGGGAGGTGGTACCGTGGTTTAGCTTTAACAGGGAAACCCCCATGAATGTGCATCACTGACCAACCACATTCACACATCGTTACGCCAACATGAACATGGATAATGTAGATCTGACTGAACTCAATGCATTCTGACAGAACTGCTGTGAGAACAGCTCTCTGATCTGGTGTTGGTCAAAAGCAATGCATTAACTTTTCTGTTTGAGGTCTAAGAGACCCTAAGTCCATTTTAGTTGCTCAAAAAACATACTTAACATTTAATAATTTGATTGACGCATCCCAACCCTTTCTAATCTTATGAAAACTAATCAACTAAATTGGAATGTTACATTACTTATTTTCAAAGATCAGTTTCAGAGATCTCAGTTATCACACATGAACAAATATGGGATGTGCTAACATCAAAGCGCTAAAAACAAACAAACAAACAACAACAACAACAAAAAACGTATATACCAATAGTTTTAAATTGTACGTTTCTTTAGAATGGCATCATAAAATTATAAACAAGTATTAAAAAATAATAAAAATAAGTACTGTATGTAATTTTTTTCATTTGGAAATTACACTGAGATTACATTTAAATAAATATGTTTAAACAATACATTAGTGTTAGATAAATGTAAAAATAGGCCGTATCAAGCGTGCAAAATTATAGACATACAGGTGCATCTCAATAAATTAGAATGTCGTGGAAATGATTTAATACACGAGTTTCACAATTTGAGTTGAATTACTGAAATAAATGAACTTTTCCACGACATTCTAATTTATTGAGATGCACCTGTATATAGATAAGTGTCAATATTTCATGCATCTCTAATAAATGCAACAATTGTTCACATGCTAATATTCACTCATTGGTACCAATAAAGTGTCAAACTGACCACAAACTACAAATACTGTATAAAATAACAGTCATTTTACAAACCTACTACAACAGAAAAGTTAAATCTTCAATAATATCTGCTACTGGGTGTGATTAGTCGGAGGTTGTTATTTTGAGTGATTGAGATACTATTATAGTTTTTATTGATACTTTGCATTAGTTTTTATTTTTATAGTCTCTATTTTCATTTCAGTTACATTTTTAGTAATTTTGTTGTTTTTTCACATTTTATTAGCTTTTTTAATATGTCTATTTCTTTTTAAATATGTATAGTTGTTAATGCATTTTAATTCAGTTATTTGAGTACATTAAGTTAAACTACATGAAATTTAAAAATTTTATTTTATTTGACTTAATGTTTATTTCATTTAAAATAGCATTTTTGTTTGGTTTTGGTTTTAGTATATAATAACCATATAATAACCCTGGTCAGAGGAAAGGAATTTAAAGGAAAAATAAAGGTTAATTGCAAAATTACTATTACTTCCATACATACAGCATTGGGGTCTCTTAAACCCCAATATTAACAACACACAATCAAAAGAACATAAGGGTTAACAGAGCCAAATGTGCTAATATTAATTGTCACGCAAAAGAGAGAGTAAAATAGTTTGGGAAGTACCAGCCAAACTATATCAAACCCAGCTGGGATCCCTAGGCGTGATACCTCAGCGATTCTGCTTAGGTGTGAAGAACGTAATCGGTTTAGTCTCTAGTGTATTCCTGTGTGTGTTTTTTAATGTGATAAAGAACCAGGTAAGCTATATAAGATATAAAATGCAGCACACGTTCAAAACAATTAGTAGTTGAAGAGACCTCATAAACTTCTCATACACTTGTTTTCTCTTTCTCATCTTGTTTATGAGTGCTGACATGATTCGTAGGGATCTCCAGTCACAGCAGAGAGCTGCCAAAAGCTTGTGGTGTAATTAAGATTTGTCCTCAGGATTTGCCCCCTGAGAAGCAAAGAACAGCTTTGCTCCTTGTTGGAAATATCTCACCATCTATAGGGGATCTGTGCCAACAGGTAATGTTATGGAAGGTGGAGCATTTGGGCATGTAGACAACAAAAGCCCAAAGGGAAAATAAATAAATAAGGAAAGAAAGAAAGAAAGAAAGAAAGAAAGAAAGAAATGAATAAACAGAAACAAAAACAGGAACATTGGATAACATTAATAATAAACTATTATTAGGGAAAAAACAAAGGTTTTCTTGGAAAGGATTTTATTTTATTTATGAATTATTATTATTATTATTTTGCAGGCATGATATTTAACAGTAGATTCAAATGTTTCAGAAGCTAAATGGCCCATCAAGGTTAGTGCTAATTTTTTTATGACTTTAAAATGACAATTTTAATGACTTACATTAACTTTAATTCATAAACCATTATTTTAAATTATTAAAATGTATTATTTTTTATAAACACAATTTTCTAATTTTAATAAAAACTAAAACTATTGAATCATTAGAAATTACCTGCTCTTTTTCTTCATTTTCATAACTAAATCCAGAAGTCAGAAACCCATAGTTTTGCAATCCAAATATTCACAGTTGTAGCTTCTGTTCTGTTGAAAGGCTGGGGACTTTAGAGGCCAAACATGCATGCTTTTGGCCTTGTTATCTGAACTCGAATGTGTTGGGACTTCAGAATTAATCCCTTCTGAAAGTCTCACAGACAAAAAAAAAAAAGTTGGGACGCCCCTCTCAAATCCTGTTCCGCTAACCCAATTTGACACCCCTACAATAACAAACTCAACCACAGATGGGAACATCCATGTTTCCTTTTCTCACAATGTACACACACTGTGACACATTCGAACACACTTTTCTTTAGCCTTGTTGTCTAGAAAATCTTGGTAATTCTGACTCAAACCGCACTTGTGGCTATTGTCTGTCCCATCACCCCAGGGCCTGTCAGAATCAGCTAACACTTCTGCGCATCAGCAAAATCCTCACAATCACCTCACACAGCACCAACAACGAATTATACGGGGGAGGATCAAAGTATCGCCCGGTCGAACGGAGATTCACAATGGCCGTCACCTTCTTTTTTTGACATATGGTAATTATAACAGCCCTGCCGAACTTACATAACACCCACACCGTATTTACTGAAATAACGCACACACAAACACACACACACACCACCACAGTGCTGATACACCACCTGTCACCTGTGTGAAAAGGTGTCAGTCTGAGCAAAGCAGTCAGAGACAGATGGAATTTTCTAAGCTGTCCATCATGTTTCTCCTCCCAGTTGAGGAGCTCAAAGACTGACAGGACGGAAGCCTGTGGTGAGGGTGAGACCTCAGATATGTGCTATATAAGCTAATTTTAGCACAGCACATATAAAATGCTAATTTTACATTGGTAGTTCAGAAGGCAATAGACACAATGGCATAAATTACAGGAAGTGGAAAGATGTAAAGATGAAGGAAAAAATAAGATTAACTTGATAATCAAATTATTGTAATATATATATATTAAAAAACAAAACAAACACACACACAAAACCATAAAACTGTGTCATTTTTATTTTACCACGTCAATTTATGGGTTGAAACAATATATTTATTTACTGACTAAAAATATATTTTATTTTTTGCACATTTATAAAATATACTGGCCTTACATATTAAAAACGATATAAAATATGTTATGCTTTAAATATAATATAAATAAAGGAAGTTATCATGCAAACCAGTGGTTGTGTGGAGTATTTTACAAAAGTTTAGAGGATTTAAGTTAAACTGTAAAGATTAATTAATGTATGGGGTAAAATAAGCTAGTATTACAGTAAAAATGAATCAACACATTATGCTGGGTTAAATAAACAACCCAATTTGCTGAGTAAAATTAACCCAAAATGTGTTCTGTTCTATATTTACATAGCCCTTGGGTTAAAAATAACCTAAATTGAGTTGTTTTAAACCCAGTGTTTTTTAGAGTGTACATTAAGTTTTGATAATATTTTATCATAAAAATGTGCACGGCTCCTTTAAGGGATCCTAACTATCTTGCTCTATTATTTCTTAAAAAGCTGACAACTGTCATTGGTAACGCCTGTCTCCAGTATCCCCCAGTTCCCTGCCCTGACCCCTACTGAGGTGTTGGGATCTTAATAAAGACACTCCACTGAAAGTTCATTTAATGTAGATTAGAGCTTCATTTCCCCACTGTTTAGCCTAATTAAAGCCTCTGCAGATTAGTTAAAGACTGTTTATACAGGGGCATTGCAGGATAAAGTATTGGCAACACATATATCATCACAGAAGAGCTCTCCATGGGTATATGAGAGAGCAGTGCTTTTGGACAGAGAATAGAGAGAGCTACTCAGGTTAAGCGGTGTAAGAATAATAATTTAATTTGAGGATAATTGGCATCAGCGTTCCCCATGTGAGCAGAAGCTATATTTCCAGGTAATGTTCAGTATGCCAGTGATCTTTGCAAAAATAAATGGCACACTGGCA